GAAGTTGAGTGTATCGGTAAAGTTATATTCGGAAAGAATAAACCAGTTTTATTAAGTAAAGACTTGTGTCGTTAAAATTTCGTCGGAACAAAGTTACGGAAAAATCAATTAACAAACGGAGACTTAACAATATGATTTGAAATGGTTCTTGGTACAATAGGTTGCTCGGAAGTTTAAGAATATGTTGAATGTTGTTACTGGCCTGGTAGAGGGCTGAATATACATAGCTGCATGTGGTATCATTGGTTTGCTACCTAGGATATCCTATATGAAAGCATCGATAAATGTGATTATAACATGTTGTCACTTCTTCGTTGTATAGAGTAATATGTTAGCAAATGTGACTGTTCGATTTCCTGTAAATAATCGTGATGAAAATATATATTTGCTTTTCTCTTTATAATATTATACTATGGTTAATATTATGAAAATATATGCTCGCCTTTCCCTGTATAAATGGGCGGGCCATAACTTATTGCTTACGATGTCGAACTATGGATTTAAGAATCCAGGGTTCGAGACACAATAACACTCTTATCTCTGTTCAAAGATCCGGACCATGTGATAGTTGTAGCTGGTTGGCTGCCTTTTCTCTTGTCAGTAGTTCAAAAGTAGGGATGACGACACAATCCATAGAAGCTATTGTTCTGGCCATTTAACCCTTGTGTCATTTAAGTTAGAAATCACAATCCTAATGTACAGGTATGTTTGGGTTGCTGGTTTTATGGTAAAACTATACAATAAGCTATCTGCGCTATGTCCATTGCGGGGAATCGAACCCCTGATTCTAGCGTTGTAAATCCGTTAATTTGCCACTGATTTTATACTATATGTGATTAAAGATGTATTTTCTTTTTGTAAAAATATACTTAGTAAAAAGACACGTTTGCTTTTTCTACATACCTTACTCTATACTAAAAGTTTGTTTTTCCCTGTATAAAAACTATGCTCTACTAAGTAGTTACGATTAAAATATTTTTCTTCTTTTTTAAATGAGGTCAAGGGGAATTAATTAATACTTACATTGCTTATTGAAGCTGTATTTTTCCACTACTACATTTGTGTGACATGATTACTTGATTAGTAAAATTTAACCTTGAACGTTGTGTGTACATGTTTGTGCACAGGACAGCCTCCGTATGTGACAAAGACGAACACCGTTTTTGTTTCATATTTTAATGGAACATCTTTCTCTTTCTGTCCTACGTTTTTATTGGGTGGAATTTTATTTTAAAAAAATGTAAACCGTGGTTATGGATTATTCTATATAACAAGTATGAAATTGATGACTTAGAAATGTCACACTTGAAAAAACTATAGCTCATCGAATGCACTTAGATACTTATTATAATGTATCCCTACCGCGCCTCAAAGGGCACTTAAGTGCAGTGCCATCTATAACATTCGTGATTATTTCAGCTCCAATGTAATTAACCGAAGAAAGTAAGTCAGTTCTAAGGACTTGTGTAGTTTCTGTATAGCTAGCAGAATAGTAAAACCATAAAAAATTACCATATATTTAAGTATTTTATTACGCTGTTGTGTAATTCAAGATTTGTTTTATAAATCTTGTCGCGAAGAGGAATACAAATCCACAATAACTACCTCAGCTATAAGTATAACAAAATTGGCGACAGGTGTGGTCGAAATATTGTTTTAACTTTAAGTAGAATCAAACATATATATAGTTAGATAATGCTAGCAAGCACGATACAAAATGCGTTTTAAGTTTTAACATTTATATTAGATGTCACCATGCTACACCCAAAGGTACATTGATTCAGGGTACATCCACTGGGAGTGTACGATTCTTTTTCTTCGTAAGGATTCAACACACTCTCCTATATCATGAATATTTGCTGCACTTGTTCAGAAACTTACAAACGTCCCGAAAGCCCATAAAATAAAAACGAAGTTCTAATCATTCAACTTCTAACTGGAAACCGAGCATGAAAAAGTCTCATCTGTGCGTACACTAGGAAAATATACCCCGCTGTACAAAGACGCGGGTAACTGTGATTATTGAGAATATAGTCTGTTTGTTTTAGAGAGAAGCCACATTCGGCTATCTGCTGTGGCCAATGCAGGGAATCGAGCCCCAGATTTTAACGTTGTAAGTCCGTAAACTTACCGCTGGCCCACCGGGGTACTCTTTGTTTGTTTATAGTTAACACAAAGCTACAATGGGGGGGGGGGGGCAGGAGGACTGAGAAAACAGGTATTACAATTAGACTAAATTAGAACCGATAGTCTGTAGTCAGTGTATGGTGAGACCCGGCAGCTTTTAAGTGTATGTTATGTTGAAGAGTATTTATATAGATAGGTACAATCTAAAAATAATCAAATAAGAAACAGGAAGATGTTTAGTGCAGCGGTTACAAGAAACAGGAAGATGTTTAGTGCAGCGGTTACAAGAAACAGGAAGATGTTTAGTGCAGCGGTTACAAGAAACAGGAAGATGTTTGCTGCAGCGGTTACAAGAAACAAGAAGATGTTTAGTGCAGCGGTTACAAGAAACATTGTAACCGCTGCAGCAAACATCTTCCTTGTTTCGGAAGATGTTTAGTGCAGCGGTTACAAGAAACAGGAAGATGTTTAGTGCAGCGGTTACAAGAAACAGGAAGATGTTTAGTGCAGCGGTTACAAGAAACAGGAAGATGTTTGCTGCAGCGGTTACAAGAAACAAGAAGATGTTTAGTGCAGCGGTTACAAGAAACAGGAAAATGTTTGCTGCAGCGGTTACAAGAAACAGGAATATGTTTAGTGCAGCGGTTACATCGGTGTTTGGATTTTGTCTGATAGATGGAATATCCACAACGCATTTGGGTGCTATTACCATAGACATTATCCGTTATGACAATGAGTTAACAACCAGGACCGACAACGGTATTGCGATATTTAATTCATTATTGTTTTATAGTGATGATTTAATCGCCTATTAACAATTAATATAATCAGTAGTTTATAAGCTATTTATATTTATATATATAGTTACATATAACAATTAATATAATCAATAGTTTGTAAACTATTTATATATACATATATATATAGTTACATATAACAATTAATATAATCAATAGTTTGTAAACTATTTATATATACATATAGTTACATATAACAACTAATGTCATCAGTGGTTTGTGAGCTATTTATATATATATATATAGTAATGGTAAAACATTAATTACACGGCTGCATTTCCTTTTCATAACCCATCAATCGTTTGAGATGTTTTAGGTCAGATGTTACTTACTACTTTTGATAAAAATAAATAAAATATTATTTAAATAATCAAGCCCAGTGTACATGGATAACTTTATGTACTTTCAATCTTTATACTGCCACTAGCATATTTCGGGGGGAGAAAACTTTCATAAGTACCTGATGATGACAAAACCTTGTCGAAACGTTGTACATTTGTTGTTATGTTAAACTTATATTAAAGTTTTTCATCATTACCCATTCAAGCCGTCTCCAGCCATTATTAAACTTTCATAAGCCTCTCATCATGCATCGCATGGATACGTTTGTTAGTTTGACCAATCAGTTGATCAATGTTCGACTTTCATCATTTATATAGCTGTATGCACGAAAATTTTGAAAAATTCGGGTGATATTAAGAGCTAAATGACAATTAATATTTTCTGCACTAAGAATAAAGTAGCTTTATACGAAACAAAAGACGATAATGTCTTATTAAACGTTAGCTTCAGCGAATATTTTTTTTTCTGACGTTACATCCTTGACCCAATTACTACATGCAAGCACGGTTGTTCCGAAAAGATATATATAGCGCAGACTATATTTTAAACGCGTACGGTAGATTCCATCTTCCAAGAGAACTGTAATGACTGCAATTTCAGAACCAAATGAAACCGATGTTATTATCGTAGGAGCAGGACTGAGTGGTTCGTACTTATGTGTTTATTTTAATTTTGTTTATTTGTTGTTGTTTTTATGACACTGTATTAGTGTTAAGAATTAAGCGACGTTTTAACTCTTCGCGCGTAAGCTAGTAGAGAAGTAGAGGTTACCGACCGTCATCTAGAAACAAACTTTCGCTCGCTGATTTACTGTTAGAATTTACAACAAGTATGTAATGATATTTCTCGAGAAAAATTCTAACCACCATTTCATACAACTTTAACAGTAATTTAATATTAGCAAAACCGAATTGAAGTGAAGCAAGTCCATAAGTAGAGTACCAACAACAATATAGTAGAAGTAATCAAGAGACCGAGGCATCGCTATTTTTGTCAGGCTAATCGGTTCAAAAAGTATCTTGTTTGATGTGAACATCATGGAGAAAGACTAAAGGAACTAGAGACACTTGAGCTAATATTCTTGTTTCGTCACCACTAGGAAAACAAAGCCAAGGAACGAGATTAAACCCATAATTAATCGAATATAATTAGTAAGGTTTTATTATTAATAAATGGATCAAGTGATCTCTATATATTTAATTATCCGAGGCATTGGTAAATGTCTAGAAATGTATAACTAATCGATAGCAAACTTGGTTGAAATTATGAAGTAGTTTTTATCATTACGTGACACGCGGTAGAGGCTCGCGCAATTATTCTGATAAACATAGTGTTGTATCCCAGCCAGCCTGTAGTGCCCTAATATTGGACAAGAGATCTCGTCGACATTGGATATAGTAGATATAGTGCTGTTCACATTATATACACTCTTCTTTACTTTCACTCACAAGTTCTTATTTATAAATATTTTAAACTGTAGTTTAAAGGAACAGACGCAAGACTGGGCAAAGTGTTCTTCATTTGGAGAATTATGGGAAATATCGTAAGCTGGTTCTTTGTGATTCCTGCACCATTTTTGGATCGGTAATAGTTATAAAACTAAAATTCAAGTTCTGGAGAATAGGGAGCGATAGAACATCTCTTAATTGTTAAATTACTTTATTTCGGATTGCACCACTTTAATGAGATTTATTCAATCAAGATTTATGTTTTTTTTTTTATCTACAACGTTTTAATTCAGTGTATATCAATGAATCTCTTATTTATCAATTTTTCAGGGCTCTCGGCAGCAAAACTTCTTACAGAACAAAGGTTAAATGTGGTTGTATTAGAAGCACGTGACCGTGTGGGTGGCCGAACTCATACCGCCAGAGTATGGTCTTTTATTTGCCTCTGTATTTATATAAAAAAGAATAAATTAAACTTTGGACTTATACTATCAAAATCGTTTAGTATAAGATCATTCTAAGACATCATCAAGATCACTGATCTAAAGAGCGATGAAAAATTATGACCAATCACATTTTTCTAAAGATGACTATAGTACATTTTCAAGGTAATCTGCTTTAAAAGCAGAAATAATGCTATTTGTTGCAAATAATTCTTAAATTTCATCAAAAGCTATGAGGTTTCCATAATATTCGTTTCAATATATAACATCCACTGAGAAGTATTATTCACAAGATTATTAAAAATTACTCATTTAAAAAGGGGGAAATAGGGATCTTCTTTTAAACACATAAACAAGGTAGGTAGCTTAAAGTGAAAATGCAATCGCAAAAAGTAACAAACGAGTATAAGGTTTGAGACACAGCGTTGATATTATCTCCTCAAACTACAAATACCTATTTTGTCTCTCTTAAATATTACAGCTTTTAGATATGGAGTCAAAATAGGTATTTGCAGGCATTATGTGTAATTTTAAAGATATAGGCAAGATTTTCTGTCATTTTATCAGGAAAAAAGTTTTCAAGCTTTAATTCATCTGAAACCTACACATTCTGACAATTAACACAAAGATACTCGAAAGTGCTCGCGTTATAGGGTTTCGTATCTTTGTAACCAGTTAATTTCTTTAACCTACGTGTTTTTCTAACATCATTTTGTCATTAATGTACTTTGGGATTCAGTATTTATCAAGCACAGAAACTGATTATTATTAAAACTTTAAGTAATGCTAAAGGAATACGTAATAGTCAGGAAAGTTTTCTTTTGGAAATCGAGTAAATTAACTTGAACTTGAACACGTTTTTTGCTTTTTCCGTATCATCAAAATATGTCTCAGGGGTAAGCAATGCTATTAAAAATGCATAGTATAAAACCTTGAAGTTTTTTGGCCTTGATATAGAGGTTAAATTCATCACAAAACCAGAGCAAAAACTGTCTTTACTTATTCATAAAAAAATACCCTAAATCTGAAAATCCCGAGTGCAGTGGCGTAAATACAAAAGATGGGGCCCCTCGCATAAAAGTAATTGGGCACCCCTACATTTATTCCCCTTGTTGGTAATTCTTGAGTTTGTTAAGCCCCCTTTTGGTTCGACCCCCTCCCGCAATTGCGGGTGCTGCGGGGGCATACTGGAATGTATTGATAAAGCTACATATTTTTGCATTGGGTAAACTCGAACAGAATTAAATATTAAGGTGAATAAATATATGTGATCACCGTCTCATGTTTTCAAGTAAAACTTCTCATGCCTTTTCTAGGAAACATGTAATTCTTCATAACTAAGAGGTTCCCCAGTGGCACAGCGGTATGTCTGCGGATTTACAACGCTAGAATCCGGGTTTCGATACCCGTGGTTGGCAGAGCACAGATAGCCCATTGTTTAGCTTTGTGTTTAATTACAAAGAACAACAACATAACTAAGAGTTAGGTGTAAAAAAAGATAAAATAACCAACATTTATTCAAATAAGCCTAGTGTTGTACGTGTATAATTCTTGCTTGAGAAGTAAGAAGGTGATGCCAGGTGAAGGGTGTCGAAACGTTGTTTTTCATTACTCCAGTTTTTAGTATTAGTGGTATTGAGGTAGTAATAAAAGGGCCATTTAACGAAACTCCTTATCTTGAGTGTTTGTGCCTCGTGTGTTATCAATAATACTATTGAGCTAACAATTTTGTAGAAAAATTCAGGAAATATATTTACAGGTTGATATGAAGTTCAAAATAACAGGGATGGGAATTAATCGGCTTTCATTATTTTCATGAAGTATGTTTGGTCTTTTAAGTTTGATAAAATTATTGAGCTATATTAACTTTATTTTAAGTAACAATATTGTAAAACTCGAACCTATAAGTTATTGAATGTGAATAATATCCTTATTACAGGCTATGAAAGTTATCGTATTTGATTATCTCCTGTTAAAGTTATCCTTTTTATTTTTCTCACTGCTATTGCTAAGAATGACATTGTAGAATGGGTCGACTTGGGAGGCGCCTATGTTGGTCCAACCCAAAACCACATTCTTCGACTGGCTAAAGAGTTAGGAGTTCAAACCTATAAGGTGTTCTCTGACCTGAAAAGCATACAGTACAGCAAAGTAAGCACATTTTAAAATATATTTTATTATTTACAGTTTCAGCTGTGTTTTATATATTTTGCACAAGATAATGTCAACAAAAAGTTAAAAACCAAATTGCTATTATTATTGCACAACTTCCAACAGATGACACTACGTTTCTTACCAAATATTGCTGTAGGCTTTTTTAAATTTAGATCATTAGATATGTATTGTTTTTTAGCCAAAGGGTTTTTGACAGTTAGTGTAATTAGTGATTAGACTCTTATTGAAAGTTTAGAGAAAGTATAGGTGATATGCTGTGATTCCGATATGGTCCTATCGTTTTCACACAAAGCTACTTCGTTCTTCATCTGCCTCTAAGCATCGCTAAAGATTATTCGCGGACAGCTCCTCCAATCGGCATCGGGATTTAGACTTTTGAAGACCTGGGAGAGTCAGGTTTGTTGGAACCTCTTCACACACCCTTTATTTTCTAGTTTACAGCTGAATATTATTTTGATTATAACCTGAGGATTAGAGGTTATTCTATTGGCCATGTCCATGTATGGTCATCAAGAAAATATTCGATAGGAGGAACTCACTTTCTCTTTGTTCATTATTTCGTAAAAGTCACACACAGCACGAACAGCTCCAGTTGTATTTCACATATTTTTCATCAGTTTAATTACTGTGAGAGCATTGTACATAAAACACCCTTTTCAATGTTCTCTCAGTTAAATAGACTAAGGATGAATATAGTATTAGCTAAAAGTGACCTAAATTTATATTTTATTTCTAATATAGAAATTAATTGGCGAGAGGTGCTTAGAGCTAATTTCATCATGTATGCAAAAACGGTCTAATTCACAAGATAGGTAATTTTTATGTGAATTTCTTGAAAGTAATTTAGGGAACTATGTGTAAGTCTATCAGGCAGTGTTTATATGTATGCATATTTGTGTAGAAAGGCTGACGATGTGGATCTTTTTACTAAGTTGGCTGCTGTAAATATTGCATTCTGTATTATTTGTAGTTTTCTTATGCGTGTCTGTTTTGTATTAATCCAAGCTGGGCATGCGTATTCTATAATTGGGCAGATGTACATGTTGTATATTGTCGACTGATGTTCCATGATTTTTGCCTCTTAGACACCGTACATAGTTTACTAATTGTCAAACTTTTGCTTTTATGTTACTAATATGTTTAGCCCATGTTAACTTCTGATCATAGGTCAGGCCAAGGAATTAAGGTGATGTTGTCGTTTGGAGGAGTGTACCATTCATGTAAAGTTCATGGGAATATTTATTTAGCTTTGTAAAGTTTATTTTTAGGAACATTTATTTTGACACAGTATTTATGGCAGTATTCTACTATTCTGTTCAACTGTGATTGCAGATTAGTGACAGCTATTGCTGGAGTCAGTACACTATTCTAAATGGCTACATTGTCTGCAAATTAAAGATAGTTATCTAGAAGTTTGTCTGCTAGAGTTGTCATGTTTGAATAGTTGTTACCAATGAAGAGATCCGCAACAAGATCCAACAAGCTCTATGACCCCACGAAGATCTCTTGGCCACTGTATAAAAAAAACAAAAAACACAAACTGAAGCGGTATGGTCACGTCTCATGGTCACTTTGATTGATAAAGATCATCTTAAAAGGCATCGTGAGAGGGAAAAGAAGAGGAGGGAGAGAGACAACATCAAAGAATGGACAGGCCTGGAGTTCGTCAACTCCCAAAAGGCGGTGGAAAACCGGGAAAGATGGAGAGAGCTGGTTGCAAAGTCGTCAGTGGTGAGAGTTAAGGGACAAAGTGAAGTGCAGTAGAAATTCTGAGTTTGTTGATCGTGAGACTCATAGGCTTTCGTTAAATATAGTTTTGTATTTGCTGTAGTTTGTTGATGTGTGTTTTTGTTACATTTATCCATGTTACAAAGGCGTATTCTACAATTGGTCTATATACCTCATCAATTTCGCGCCATTTCTGAAGAGGTACATATCAGGTGTCTACTTTCCACCAATAGCATTGCGCCACCTATAACGGCGCTTTTAGTTCCCTCTACTATCCCCACTCAATCCTCTCTTTTTCAATTGGCCAGCATTATTTAGACGTGTTTTTTTTTACATATGGCTACCGTTCATTAACGTGCTTCTTTACCATTTCAGTTTTTTATCAACAGTTTTATTTTACTGTGTTTGCATTCACTTGTTTTAACATTTTTTTCTTTTATTTCTTGTTACGGAATTACAAGAGATCATCAGAATGAATTTGCGATCAATGTATCGACTACGAAAATTCCCGTTACATCAAAAACGCGACTGCCAGTAGTACTGGTACAACTTCCCAGGACTCGAGTTCGACTTTATATGCATATGTGGTACAGACCTTATTTCGCAGGGAGCTTGATTCATATTGTTACGCCTCTGGTCGTTTGTTAATTTCCCGTAACAATTCCTTCCGAAAAACTTCAGCGATACAAGTCCTTTCTTAAGTAAAACTAGTTTATTATTTCTCAAACAACTTTGCAATACACTTAATTTCCACAATCAATTTAACTTAAACACACGCTATAATTCATAACGAACGATCCACGCACTTACTTAATATCGCGCTTGACTCAATTGTCCGTCTCTATCTGTCTCCATTTCAATTCCGATTAATTTTCTGGCGCACTTCTTTACAAAAATAGAGGCCGCCTAGAAAATACTGGATTATTCGTAATGTTCTATGATCTTTCTAGAACGCATTACGTGTTACCAGCGTCACGTGACTTCCGCTGTCGTAACACTGCTCCTTCCTTAATATTGTTCGTCCCGAACAATAGCCACTTACATTAAACCAATAGAAAATTAACAATAACTTAATTAAATGTACAGAATTTACAAACACAAAGTTAAAATTTAACAAAGTCTCTTAATTTTACAGGATGTATCTTCTTCCATACTGGTCTCCATCTCATTGGCTTCTTCTTCACGTGGGGTTCATCTGCTCATACGGGAATTGTCCTATTATCGGTAATCACATCAGTGGTAATAACTTCATCAAGGGCTTCACTGTTTCACTTCTCAAAACCGAGTAGAGTTTCTTCTGACATGTTTGCACAATTAGGAACATTTTTAATGTCTTCCATTCTATGACACTGGATGCTGTCAATGTAATGGTCATTGACACATGAAACTGCAAGAGAACATCCTCAAAACACTTTCTTTAATTCCTCATATGAATATAATTTTTTTAGCCTTGTGTCGTGTCCATTCCTTTAGAAATATACAATTTATTGAGAGAAACCCCCCCAGTAGTATAGCAGTACGTCTGCAGACTTATAATGCTAGAAACTGGGTTTTGATACTCATGGTGAACACAGCACAGATTGTCCATTATGAAGCTTTGTGCTGAACTACAAAAAAAAAACAATCTTGAGAGACACGCCTAATTTATAGTTGAACAAAGTCTAGAAAAGCAGTAATCCATTGATTCAATGTAAATTTCAAGGGACAACAACATTTCCTTTATGAGCTTTTAGAATAACAACATTTCTAAGTAATTGATTGTAAATAATTTGACATCTTTGGAAAGTTTATTTTGACAAATTTTAATAAAGACTAGAAAGCATTAAACTATAATTTAGTTATTAAAACTTCTGTTATGTAGAAGGGCTTTTATAAGCTATGGTTTGATTGAAAACTGGTTAAATAAGACTTGCACAAGCTATGGTTTGATTCAAAACTGGTTAAATAAGACAAGCTATGGTGGCTTACGAAATAGCTCATATTTTCTGCATGTACAAAAGAAAACATCTAAAGCAACATTTTGTGCAGTCTTTTCATATTTAGAAACATTTCTTCAAATGGAAGCCAGTAAACTTCAAAAATGTATAAAAATGATGACTTCAGAATGTAATGTATTAGACATTTTTTCAATGCTTAAGTTGAAAGAATCCACTTTCAAACTTTTAACACTGAAATTTGTGATATTTCATAACTTGAATGAATGAAGTAAAAGTGAAATTTCAACTGTCAAATAGCTTAACCAAAGTGATTTTAAAATATCAGAAAAAAAGAATTAATTGTACAAGGAAGATCAAACTGAGTATAACATTAGAATCTGTTGTTGGGATGACAAGGAGCTGTACTAGGAGTGACATGAGAGGCTGTAGTTTGGATGACATTAGATGCTGTAATTAGTATGTAGTTGGGTTGACATCAGAAGCTGCAGTTGGGAACCAGAAGTTTGGGTTCAGAATGACATTATATTTTTGATAACATAAACAGTCTTGGAGAGAGATATCGTTATTACATTTTATCCATATACAGCATTTTCTAAATGTAAAATAAATTTTAAGCTTCCCTGTTTATCTCACTGATATGAAATAACTGCTAACAATAATTTTTTGTATGTTTTCTATTACTTTATATAAGTCTCTTTATCTGTGGTTTTGAATATCTTGATTAAAAGACGTCATTTGAAATATTAGTAAAAATGCATCATCATCAAGTGCCATGCTTTGTAGCATAGGCAATCATGTCCCAGGCACTTGTGATTATATCAGTCACCCTCTTCTAAATATGTATACAAGTAATATAAAATCCAATCACTCTATCTATAACTATTGTATGTCTGTTCTTTAGGGAAAACAATTTGTTTACAGCAGTCAGTGGGCAAAGTTTGGACTATGTAGTCCATTAGCATGGTTCGACATCACCCATGTTATGAAAAAAATGGACAAAATGATGGAGCAGGTGAGGTTCACAAATTATTCTTTTTATATAACAAGACAAAAAAAAATTTGATGCTCTGTAATTTGTGGTCATTTTCATAAGAAGTTACTACTCTGATAACTTTCTACATGGTATAATATTTCATAGGGATGTTGTTTCCTGCAATGTAACAATAACTTATTAAATGGATATCAACTGAAATATGTGTACATGTGTGTTATCAATAATGGAAAAAAATTGTTTTGTATTTGCAGATTAAATTCCTTGTAAAAAAAAATGTCAAAACATCTTAAAACCTGTTTTATTTAGAAACATGTTTTTCAGTGGTTTTGATTTATTCTACAAATGTTTGCTATTTTTTTCATTTCCACTTACATGATCATTTAATAAGTGCCATCCATTTGTGCTAGTTTATCATTTAGTAAGTACTCTTCATGGTTATGTTGTCAATGAAATGCCTCTAAGCTTTCATTTTGTGCCTGTAGGTGCTTTCATCTTTGATTGTTGTTCCAAATAATTTTACCACATTTGAATTTCAGGTTGTTCACTTTCTTTACATTATACCTTAAATATTTAACAATTTTAAGTTAGTAACTAAATTAACACTATTAATGACATATCCTGAGGTTTACTTTATTTTTAGAAAAATTCACCTCATCTTAGCCCCTGTTTTTAGTTGTAGGTTTGATACTTTTTGAGCTCTGCAAGTTTGACCATAGGCCAGTTCTTTTATATCTCATTGGTCATTTCTACTCTCATCAACATTAGCACCACTTTAAGGACCATTCATTGACATTTGAGGTTCTCTACTTTGTTCTAGCTATTTTCATTCTGGGTTCTCCTAGTTTGACAAGCCTAAGAAAAAATAGCTCCATGACTTTTTTCACTTTTTGAATTCCCTCCATTGAAGTGCTTTTCTCATGTTATTTTGTTCCCATTAGTACCCAGGTTTTTTGGATCACTTGGAACAATTTTTATGAGTTCAAAGAACATTGTGAATGATTTGTCCAGAACTCTCATTCATTATCTTAGTTTT